AAGGTTTATATCTATTAATTAAAAGATCTCAACATTTAACCATAAGACATAGCCATTAATATCAGAGCATTACCTTAGAAAAGCCTTTATCTAAGGCTTTTAAAGTAATCTAAGATTATTCACCCACTAGAGTTCAACCCAATTTCAAAGATGACAAATAGAGACTTGATCAAGGTTGTAGAAATTTTAAAAAAAAAGCCATATTTTCTCTAAAGGAAGTGCTTATGCAAAATTACTTCTATCCCTGCTAGTCTTTGTCCATTACAACTTAGAACTGGAACTGAGAGTTCCCAAATATAAAGCTTCTTTTCTCCCCAAGTACCTCCCCATGCCAAAAGTCGCCTTCCCAAAAGCCAATGCCATGACTTTTTCAGAGTTCATATAGATCAAAGCACTTTCTTGAGAAAAACTTAACATAGACTGGAAGCCCCCGGCTGTATTTGCATAAGGATGTGACACACACTATCTGCAGAAAGTACTAAAGTTTTTAACCAAAACTTTTTTCTTTAAAGCCTCTATTCCTGGCTTGTGAATTGGATTGTTTATCCAGGTTAAGAAACAAGAGTTTTGGGTGACTAGATTGTCTTATCAACACACCTAGGAGGGCCTACATTCACAGATCCCAAGATTAAAAGCAAACAGTTCTCTCCCCTGCCCCTCCCCCATTACATCTGGTTTTAGTCTTTCTTCAAGGCCAACGAAGAAGGGGTCAAGGCTAGATAGGAAAGGTCACTCATTAGCACAGAAACAAAACCCGCAAAAATCTACACCTGGGTTGGTGGGTGTGGTTGTGGTTTTTTAGCTTTACATAAGCTCCGTTTTAATTTAATTGTTCTGCAAGAGTAATTCAAGGCGAAAAGGAGAGGTTGGCCCAAGGATTGTTTGGCTGGGTCACACAAGAATCCCTTTGGGATAGGGAAGCTACTTCCTCGGTGTCCTCAAACACATGACGGTCTGGAGCCAGTCCAATTAAGGCTGTTTGTGATCAACTCAGTTAATAAGTGGATTTTCTAAAAATAGTAATGGGAAACACTAATAAAGCTCTTGCCTTTGAGTTTTCCAAGAACTTAGAATCAGCTTCTACAGTTGTTTAAGGGAAAGGTTTGGCAATCAGTGAAATGTGATTAGAATTGGGCCTACAATTTAAAAATATGTATTATATATAAATATACACACATATACATATGAACATATATATCCATTCTGGTGAGTTAGTGACATTTTGACCTGGTGAGGTATTGTGAGAAATCTTAACTGGCTGTTGACTACTGCTGAACAAGAGAACTCCTGGTTCTATAAATTACAATCCCAGTGGAAAATAAATCCCTGTTCCCTGAGATTTATGTAGTAAAGTAAAAGGAGAAAGTGGTGACCAATATTTGTCTTGGAGATTTCCTACATTCCTGAAAAAGGAGGGAGCCGTGGAGTAAATGAATCCAGGGAGGGTCTCTTGAGCAGGGACCACACTTGAAGTTAGGGGGCGCCATGCTGCTGCACATTGCAAAGAAATTGCAACCAGGAGGTTTCCCCATAAGGCTTCTTAATTAAGACCCTTAAGATATGTTTCCAACAAGTTCAACTGCCAAGGTCAATTCTGCCTAGGTAACTTAGTGAAGGGTTCCTTTAAAATCTCAACAGCCCCTTCAGCAGCTCAAGTCTGACCAATATTTCTGCTTTACAGCCTGGTGACTTGTTTTCTGAGACAAACTTAAAATCTGATGGCTTTTGCTCCTTCACAAGACACATTAAAAGTAAGAAAAGTATATTCATGCGCTCATATAAATAAGTATATACCTTGGCCTTAAGAACGGTAAGAAACCTAAAATACATTTAGCGGATTTTGCCTTCTGTTTGATTAAGTTTCCATGCCTCGAGTAGAGTACTCTCTATACTGGAGACTGAGGAAAATAAATAAAGGACAGGAAAGGAAGACAAATAGACAAAGTTAAGAAAATTCTTAGAAAGAAAATGGATTTCTACCAACATTTATTAAATGAAGAGCTGGACAGCCACCTCCACTCCTCTACCCCAAAAAAGGTAAAGAGGTTTCTTTATATGACCCTATCTCTCTCTGTCAGACCTCCTCTTCTTCTGATATAGCTTTTCATTGGAAGCGTGAATATATATACATTTTAATTGGTTTAGGAATATTTTGCCTTACTTTTTCTATTAATTGTACATTTAGAGAATGAAGAACTATGTATTAGGTTAGCAGATGAGAATCTAGATTCTAGACAAATGTAGGCTTCTTTGTGAGAGACCTCCTAAATCCTACTTCTTAGAATGGACATCAGTACCAAATGTCCTTGCTTCAATTTCAAAAAAGCATTCATTCAACAAACACCTACTTCTACTATGTAGTGAAGCACTAGGTGGGGGTGGGGTAGGTTAGTGTGTGGGGGTGGGGTAGGTTAGTGTGAAAGCATGGGGGGGGGGCTGTCCTCCTTTGGCTCCTAGGTCTTGGCCTCTCCCACCCCCCCCCACCCTCCACCTAGGAAAGAGTTAAAAGTCAGATAAGACAAGTATTTGATTGAGACACCCAGTAAAGACTTTGCAATACACTTATATTTTGGATGAGTTACACTTAATAAAGTTATTCTAATCGTGGGAGGACATCACACCAATATAGGATAAAACCTTCAAATCCTGTTGAAACCATATGCTTTTTCTTGCCCTAGATAGGTTTCAAACTCTTTCCAATAAAATCTTACCCTTAAACTTTTAGGGTTGAAAGACAGGCCCTGCAAAACAGAGTGGTCCACTGGAAAGGGCACTTGATTTTAATCAGGACCTCAGTTTGACTACTTTTTTTGGGGGGTGGGGTTGGTTTTGGTATACCCCCAGTGCTTTGTACATAGCACACACTTAATAATTGCTTCTTGCCTGAGAATTCAGGCAAGTCACTTTAGCCTCTCTGTAAAAGCAAGGGCTGGTCAAGGATGATCTACAGTCCCTTGTAGCTCTAAATTTATAGGTAGGCCAGGCTGCTAGAACCTGGAGAGGTTTATATGTGACGATCTCTTTAGTGGTTACTTACTCTTCACCACCTCAAAGCCGTTTTTTTTTTAAGGGGAAGGGGCCGTGGCAACAAGCATTTATTTCAAACTTTGTACAACTTTGTTTTGAAAGAACTCGAGCATCTTCAGTGTCCTTCAAAATAGGACCAGAAAGTCTAGTATCTTAATTAACTAAAATGACTTACCAAGTGCTTAATAAATGCCTATTGACAGACTTCAAGAATTCTGTGAAGAATTCTAAGTTAAAAGCAGATGTTTAGGGGTTGTTTTTACCTTTAAAGAATTTGAACTCCTCCTAGAAGTATATACTCGGGGCAGTTGGGTGGTACAGTGGATAGAGCTCTGGCCTTATTCAGGAGGACCTGAGTTCAAATGTGACCTCAGATTGACACTTGCTAGCTGTGTAACCCTGGGCAAGTCACTTAACCTGACTGCCTCACCAAAAAGAAGAAAAAAAAAAGAAACTATATACTCTATTTCTGCCCTCCCCACAAGGAGATAATATTTCTAAAGCACTTAGCACAATGGCTGGCACATAGTAGGCATTTAATTAATTAATATTTGTCCCTTTCTTCCTCCCTCCTTCACTTCTCCAAGGATTCAATTCCACATCTAAGCCAGTTGTCCTTTTATTTTTTGTCTTAACAGCACTCTTCTCAGTTCATGGGCCAAATGGGGCGGCAATAGCTTGTTTTTATCACAGAATCAATCTTGAATTGTGAAATACTCTATTTCCCCCCTAAATAATACATAGGTGACTGTTCTTGTACCTGATGGCCAGTTTGCTTTCCTCTGTACACCTCAGGCTTTTAAATGTTACTTATGCTCATCTATCACTTATGATAAAAGAAAACAGAAAGTCGTTTGGAGATGCTACCAGAAACGACATGGGCTGGACCACTAAACACCTGAAGACAGATTGCACGCAAGTCCCTCTGAATCTGTAAATGAATAGTGTAGGTACTAGAGTTAAGGTAAGCAGAGATGCTGCCAATATACACTGTAAACATATCTAAGAAATTACCGTCAAGGGTGTCTCTTGAGGGATAAGTGAACAGAAACCTCTTTTCCTTCCAAAAGTCCTTGACTACTCTCTCATTAACAATTAATTAGTTGTTTGGGTGGATTTCACCATCTTACTGCTACGGAAGAGCCCGGATGAAAATAGCAAGAAAGGATTTTGACAACCAACAAATTAGCTCAACTGGGTCTTGGGGTCAAAGGGCCAAACGCACAGGCTTAAACAGAGGGAGGGAAAGAGCTTACACCTTGCATTAGAATTGAGTCCAAAACAAAGTCAACAAATGCCATCTTAAAAAAAAATCACAATTGTGGGTCCTCAAGGACCGTATATTTGGAGAGACACCTGAGCAACAGGGTGTCGTGAGCAACATGGGGCTATGGGATTACTGAACAACAACAACAACAAAAGTTACACCTATTCCGAAATCATTAAAAGGTCCCAAATGCTAACGTCTTCTAACCAATCCAATGGTTCTTATCATCAAATTACCACCAAAATACACAGAAACAAAAGTTGTTAAGTCTTTTACCGGCAACCAAAGACGGTCATCTTTGGAACAGAAAGGGACCTCAGAGAACATCTAGAAAAATGCCTTCATTTTATGTGTAAAGAAATTGAGGCTCGGAGGAGGGGAAATGACTTGCCCAAGATCACACAAGTGCTAAATGGCAGAAGCCAGGCTTAGGTTCCCAAGTCCAGCGTTCATTCCACTGCACCGGACTATCTGTGGGCTTAGTTCATTTAAAATTAAGTGCCGGCTGAAGTAGCGATGGTCCAAGGTTTTAACCCAAACCAGTATTTTTGTATTTTTTTTAATTTTAACCCAAACTAGTCTTCTTTGTATTATAATTTTGGGGGTGAGGAAAGTTTCTTGCAAACAGTGAGTGCTGTGCTTAACTTTGGGATCGGTCAGGGCGCCGCTCTTCCCAGTCCCCAATTGAAATTAACAGCGCCCTTACCTTGGACCTTTCTTTGACATAGTATTTGCCCAGGCGGCTTCCACAGTACAAAACCAGGCGGTCGATCAGGGACAGGAGGAAGTTGATGGCTTCGCAGCCTTCTTCATTGCCCCCGATCCAGGTTATCTGGTCTCCCCGCAAGTGCCTCTTGGAGATCCCGGAGCGGGGTCCAGCCAACTGCCCGTCCTGCAGGTCCCCGTTACAGTGCATTTGCTTCACGCGCTCTAGGACGCAGTCACCTACCACCTCGCCCAGGAAATTGTCCAGGTAGCAGAAGCCGATGTCGTGCAAGCAGGGCACTATGTACTCCAGAGCAATCTTCTCCAGATCCAGGTGCATGATGTGTCCCAGGGGCATCGCGACTCCCGAGCGGAGAGGAGCCGCGGGGGCCCCAGCGTGCGTGACTGGAGGCGGCGTGTGAGCGACTTTTGGAGACAAACACCCTGCGTGAGGCCCCCGGGGTGCCAGGGTTCCAGACCCTAGAAGTCGGCGGGTGGGGGGGCTGCGCCGCACCAGTAGCTGCTAGAGGGACACAGGGTAAGCAGCTCACAACTCTTTGAGTGTAGCCCACTTAACAAAAGCACCGTCCGCGCTCCAGACGAGTTTGCGCAGGGCTCATCGACCCAGCACTGGACGCGCCCAGCGTAGAGAGTAGAAGGGACCCACTTTTTGGAGCGCGAGCATAAGTGACTGTGGACGAGATTGGGACTCCGGGGCTGAGTATCCGCTCTCGCCCCGCCCCGCCTCTTACTGGGCCACCCACACCCCGCCGAACGTCACCAGGTCCCGCCCCAAACTGGGCAACAGTCACTCCCCCGGACTCAGGAGACCCCGCCCCTGGCAGAAGAATGCCGAGTGGGCAGCGTGGTAGAGGACACCGACCCCCTCGCCCCTTTATAAAAGAGCGGGACCGATAGATTCTCTTAGGCAGAGCTCAAGTTTCTTCTTGATGGTGTTTTAGGGTTTTCTTCTCTTTTTTTCTTTTCTTTTTTTTTTAGGTTTAGGAGTAGGTTATTTTTCCATAAATTTTTCATAAGCTTCAGCATTTTAATCCAAACTTTTCTTATGCCAAGTTCTGCAACTGTTTTAAATCTCAGCGTAATACCTACCAGGAGTTTAAAAAAACTAATCAAGTAGGTGCCCTAGTGGACTGAAGAGCTTAACTTGATCTCAAAACAGCCTTAAACACTTAGTAGCCCTGGGCAAGTCACTTAAACTATCCTCAGTTTCCTTATCTGTACAATTGGGGACAATAATAGCATCCACCTCCCAGGGTTGTTGTAAGAATCAAATGAGATAATATTTGTAAGGTGCTTTGCAAAACTTAAAGCACTGTATAAACGTGAGCTATTATTGAATCATATCTTCTGTTGGAAAACATGGATTAATTGAACAATCAAGATTCCTCAGGCAAGCTACCCGGCTCCTGATAGAGGTGTTGTACTCAGGGTGCAGATTGAGACATATGTATTTTGGAGCATCCACCTCCGGTTTCTGTTTTACTTGTTACAGGAATTCACTTTTTTTTTTTCTTTCATTGGTCAGGGGAGGTGGAAAGGAGACAAAATAAATGCTAGATAACTTAAAAAATAAAATTCTAAAAATAAAGCAAGAAAGGCAAAGAAGGAAGGAGAGGAAAAAAGAGAAAGAAAACTCATCAGTCTCTTCAATAGTGAATTAATCGGCAAATATTTGTTGACTGCCCTTTATTTGAAGACGTGCTGTGAGGCAGGAGGGTGTGAGCTAGAAAAATGTTTGCCTTGGCATGATATGTGTCAGTGTAATTATGCCTCAACCCCTGCTTTGTTGTTATGATGGCTATACCTTAATAGCCAGGTGAACTATACCCTAGGGATGGGCTTAACCAAACAAGTAAAATTTCAGTTATCTATAGATTAAACAGTCCACTTTAATGGATTATGAATTTCCCTTCCTTCTCTACATAAGTGACTAGAATTGAAGAGGGGGAGAAGACATCATAACTTGCATAGTTATTTTCCTGTAATACCTGTATGAAGTAGGCAATGGTGTTGTCTTATTTTCTATTTGAATTTAACAATAAAAAAAGTAGTCTTGAAAGGTACAGTTAGAAGTCATGGACATGGAGTCAGGAGGACCTGAGTTAAAATCTAGACTCAGACACTTACTAGCTGTATGACCCTAGGCAAGCCACTTTATCTATAAAAAGGGAATAATAATAATAATAGCACCTACTTCCCAGGGTTGTTGTGAGGATAAGAATGAGTTAATACTTGTAAAATGCCCTGCAAACCTTAAAGCATTACATAAATGCCAGCTATTAAGGATATTATGTAGTTAGGAATACCAGACTTTGAGTTGATCCTAGAACATCTACTAGTTAACTATATGGCCTTGGACATATCACTTAATCTTTAAACCTCAGTTTCCTCATTTGTAACGTGGGATTGATAAGATCTATATCACTTTTTTCACAGAGTTGTTGTAAAAATCAAAATTTATATACATATAGGATGTGTGTGTGTGTATTATATATATATGTATGTGTGTATATATATATACACACATACATACTCTATATGCCTAAATGATATATAGGACATGATATATAGTATAGTACTTCATAAATTTTAAAGCATTCTATAAATGCCAGTTATGTATATATTTTAACATTTTATGTGTGGTTTTTTTATCATATTATTACTCATTCCTTTAATTTCTTTTCACTTTTTGAAAGAAAGATGATAGCAGAAAGAGAATGAGGTCAAACACCAGAACCTGAAAATCAACAGGAAAAACATTCCCTGTACCTGCTTTAAAGGGAACTGGGGTGGGGGTGGGGGGGAAGTTTGGTAGAACTAAAAGAAAACAAATACAACAAATCTGCAAGTTGGGTGTGAGAGGGGATGATCATTGATACAATCTTTATTGTGGAGAGGAGGCCGAAGGGCCTAGCAGATAAAGAGCTAGCCTAGGAGCTAGACAAGTTGTGGGTACAAGCCCTGTATCTGTCATATACCAGCTGTGTGACTGGGTGAGTTGCTGGAATCCATAGTGGTCTAAGCCCTTATGTCAAACTCAAACAAAAACAGGGCCACTAATCCCTGCATAAGGATCCCTGCAAACTGCATATTGAGTTAGTTTTAAGCTGTAACATTATCTGTTTTAGTGCATTTTTATTTATTTTACTAAATATTTCCCAATTACATTTTAATCTGTTTCTAGCCTACTTGGGAGTGTTACATACTACCGATGAGTTCATTGAAACAGCTCACAATGGTCTCTCAGCAAGTCCTCAGCTCCAAACTTTAAACATGTTCCAGAGGGCCTCTGGACCATATTGCTCTAAGTAAAAAAACAAGCTCCAAAGCTCTGAAAGCTGCAACACAAAGGGGAACTGACCTCAGAAGTTCCTCTTTCTCATCAGAAGCACAAGCCAGTCTTTCCAACCTGGGATTGAGCAACTTTAAAGTTATTACGCCTAGCTATTACTCTGCATGAGAGCTCTGGACTTGTTAACCAACAAGTTGTTTGTAATCTCCCTAGCTTTTCCTGCCTAGCATTCATTTATGAGATTAGTTTCATAAACGATTAAAGAGCAAGACAAAATACACCCAAAATGTTGCATCTGAGAGGGAACAAAGAGAAGATGGGGTTACAAAGGTAAGGTATTAACACAAATCAGACTTTTCCCTAATTCTTTTTAGGTCCAAGATCAATGCCCAAAGCACACTTCTTTCAAGAGAGACTACTGGACTTGAGTAAGGAAGATCTGGGTCTGAATCCTGCCTCCAACATATGCTAACTATACGACCCTGGGCAAATTATTTAATTTCTCAATGCCCCAGTTTTCTCATCTATTAAATGATATGATTGGACTTGATGACACCCTTCTAATATCTTGGATATATGATCTTATTCATTCCACTTCCTGAAAATAATAAATTTGGTAGATTACAAGGGATATCAATCAATTTTAGGAGCTAGCCCTGATTGGCCAAGACCATTGCCAATAGAAGAAAAGCTCCCTCTCTTGGCTATTTTCCTTACTCAGCCGTGAAAAGTTTACAGATTCTGTCCTGTTAGGGAGACTATTCTCATAAATTCTAAGATACTCTGGGTCTGCACTCCTAAAACTGTAGCTCACTGACTCCAACCAGTGTGCTTACTTTAATAATTAATAAGTACACACAATTAGCTCAAAGTAGCAGCACTTACTTAAATGGCAGTAGTAACAACAGCTATACTATATCCCCCTCACCATAAATCTAAGGTACATACTTCCCCACATTGTTGTTGAGTTTGTCCTTTATTCTCAAAGGGGACCATGACATCAGGGAAATGATGACATGACTTGAAATTGCCTTTGTTTTGAGTGAGGGAGGGCTGTGCAAGGTTACCAGCCTCACTTTCTCCTCCAGAGCCATCTGGGTCCAGTGGCCAGATGTTCATCGGGTCAACTGGAGATGACCCAGGATGCAGTGGGAGATGCTGGCCCTCTTAAACTAAGGTCTTTTCAGGTTCTCACTTTGAGTGAGGTAATGCCCATTCAGTGAATAGGCCTCTTTAAGAAGTGAGTCAAGGGATGGTCCTTTTAATAAAAAAGAAAAAAAAATTAAACTGGGAAGGGAAGGTTAGGGCTGCTGGCCAAAAGAGAAACAGCTACTATTTACATTCACTCTGACCCAGGAGGGCCCAAAAAAACAACCATTAAGTGGTGCTTGGGCAGGGGCCTATTGTTGTCCAATCTATGAGCTCCAAAGTGAATTGGGTTTAAGTTGGTCTTTGAGAAAGAAATCTAGCCAGTAAACCCCAAGTTAACTAAGCAGCTTTCAGCGACCAAAATTTACCTTCCTTTGGGCAGAACACCCTCAGGCGAGGGGAAAGGAGAGGAGCAGAGATACAGTAGGAAAATGGGCATCAATTTAGAGTATACTAGTAGTGGGGCATATACAAAGGGTACACATGTGGCCAAAGAAATTCATGCTTCCAGAACAAAGTCTCAAGTCCTTTCTCTTCTCTTGGTGTCCTCATTCTACTCTTCCTTAGGTGAAATGCCTCTATTGGGTGGACCACTTCCTCAATCTCAACTCTCAGCTACCAGAGCTAGTTCTCTCTTGAATCCATAGCTGACTCTCTGCTGCCATAAGCCACGCTCCATAAAGCTATTTCTGCCTTCTCTCTGTCTCTCTCTGTCTGTCTGTCTCTCTCCCCCTCTCTCCTCCTTCTGGGTAAATAGCTCTTCTGGATTATTAAGAGGTAAAGTGCCCCCACCCAGAGCTGGCAGGTTTAGTTTTTTGAAGGTCACCAGGGGTGTAGCTAATCTTATGCTAGACGATGTCCAATTCCATCAGGATAACTTCAGGTTTTATAAAGAGATAGAAGAATATAGGCTCATCTCCGTTACTTTTCCCCTTCTGTGATTTATAAGCTGACCTGGGAGTGAGTGGGAATCAATTTTCTTTTTTCTTTTTTTTTAGGCAGTTGGGGTTAAGTGACTTGCCCAGGGTCACACAGCTAGTAAGTGTCAAGTGTTTGGTCTCAGGGAAGATTTGAACTCAGGTCTTCCTGACTTCAGGGCTGGTGCTCTATCCACTGCGCCACCTAGCTGCCCCAGGAATTAATTTTCAAGGACCAACTCCTCACCTATCTTGACTCTCTACAATGGAAAGAGCACTGAACAGGGAGTCAGGGGACCTAGGGCTGCCTAATTAAGTGTGTG